GAACATGTGCTGAGTTGCGAAGGGTGGCGGGGGGTGGTGGCTGCTCCGGATGATTCCCCTGCTTCTCCTGCCTCTGTAGTTTACAATCCCTTGCCTTTTGGGTGACGCCTGGCAACAAGACCTGGGACCTCAATGCTCTCGTTTCCTGCTTCAAATGCACATTTTAGTAGTCTTGATTTTAACAAAGAGCCCTGTTCAACCTTGTTGTGTAAGGACAATAAACCAGATTCAGTGGGTGGTAGTTTTTACTAGCTTCCTATTCTAATTTTCAGGTTTGAAAGATATAAAAGGCTTCCATATCCAAGGAAATGTAGTGGAACACATTGACGTCTTTAGGCAAAGCAGTATGCTTTAACTCTGTAGAATTTGAGACAGGGCTTTAGAGTCACTGGTAGGTTTGTGTCCCAGTTTTTCCACTTACCAAGTGTCTGGCTTTGGACAGGCTAATCCCTAGGCTGCTTTTTCCAGTACTGGTCTTACAAAGTTATTTCCTTATTTGGAGTCTTTCTGGGAATTGGTGGTCCTTCCGAGCATCCTCCACAGATAGTTTAGAATTCAACTTCTGGTTCCACTAGCTAAGCTAACATTCCTGCCCTGCAGCTTTCCAGGCCCTGAAACAGGGTGGTTGTCCTCACTCCAGTTTTGTGTCCCTGGGAGTTTATGCTTTACTAAACATAATCCCTCTTTTGCCCGTTTAGTGCATTCACAAAGACACAGAGGTAAATTTATGTGTTTAATTTACCTTGTTTAACCAAGAGTAATCTTTAAATTTTTAAAGAAATAGGCTTAGTCTATTTCTGTTATCGAAAGAAGTCTTGAAATGTTCCTGTAAGAATGAATTTAATGCTTCATTTCCTTGTTTTCGTTAATCGAAGAATTCATCCCTTGATTATTATTGCTAAATATTTTGTATTAAACTATCCCTTAAAAACAACATTTAATTTGGCGATGAAGTTTAGGGCAATGGTTTATGTTGCTAACCATAGTCTTTTCATGCTGGAATTCTACTTTTTGAAATCTTATTTTTTATTTGTATATTGCTGGGTCAGAATAGGCTGAAGTAATTTTTTCATAAAGGTTAATGAATAATGTATTTTCAGAGCCTCTGAATATATGAGAATACTTTTCATATATTCCTCTGCAAATGAGAGGCAGTTTGCCTGGCAATAGCTTTCTTTGATTGAGTCTCCCGTTTCTTTTGGCACTTAATAATACAGCAGAGTTGTAAGACCAACTGGATATTTGTTCCTTTGATGGTGATTTGTTTTCCTTTGATTTATGTGTGTCGACTTGTTGTTTTTATGCTTGAACACTGAAGAACTTTTTTTTTTTTTAAATTTTAAACCTAGGATTCAACATTTTTGTCAGAAATTGCTTTGAATTGATACTGTTTGGAATGCAATTTAGTTGTCTTTTTTTTCAGTTCATTTTTTTTTAGTCTTTTTGCCTTTGACTATTACTTCCATTTCAGTTCTTGTATTTCCTCAGAAACAACTGTAATTAGATTTATTTTCTAGTCTTCCAGATCTAGGATCTTTTTTCATCTTTGGTTCTTTTCTCTGACCTTACGGGGATATTTACCCTCTATGTAAATGACTTAATTTTATATCATATGTATCTATGTTCCTCCCCTCCAGTGGATAATAATGCTGCACTTCATTTTTCAGACTCTGTGCAATGCTTCTTTATTCCACCTATAACTTACCCAGCAGTCTTTTATTGACTTACAACTTTCTGTTTTGTTTCAAGGGATCATATCTTGTGTTATATTGGCAATGCCTAAAACTTTCCTAAAAATTACTAACGATTCCTCTAGGAAGTCATTTTTAGGAGACTGTTCTTCCTTTGAATCTTTAACATGCCCTTTTCTTTCCACATTTATTACTACTTAGTAGAACTATGCTGATATCAAGCTGTTATTTTCATTCCCAAATTTAGAGATATTCATCTAGACCTGCTAACAGAGGGGATGTGTGGATTGCTCTCAGCCCCACTCTCTCTCCTCCTGTTTTGTTAGTCAAAGTCCTCTTTTAGATCTCTGACCTTGTAGCAGGTTGATGTCTATAGAGTCGGACCCATTTTCAGTGAAAGTTTCATATAAAGCAGCTATCTCCAATGCCTTGTTCTTTGTTGCTTTATATATGGATTATGTAAGGACACCAACTTCCAGAATGCAATACCTTCATAGGTCATCTTGTCCCTAAATCTGCCTTTCTGTCGCTGAAACTGCCAGTTTTCACAGTGCATCTCCTTCTTCCAGTTGGCTTTTGAAAGTAGCCATCACTAACATATGGGATGGGGGATTCTCTTGCTGCCTCAAGAAATGTACACAATCATTTGTGGCAAAGGGCAACGTTTCCGACTGACACAGATTTTTGCATTTCTATGCAACATGGCAGAAAGTGGAGACAGGGTGATATGCAGATGAAGATTTCCCTGCTTCCTTCAAGGCTTGTGACTTTTCACTGCTAATCACATTTTTTACATCTAATTTCATTCTTTTTCTGTTATAAGAATTCTTCACTGCTTCTAGCAGTAGGTTGAAGGTCGTATCTTCCTTTTCATGGTTGCATGACGTTTGTTATTTATCTCTTTTACAGGTATCTTAGTAGAAGCTTGGGAGGGACTATATCAGGGACTGGTAGCTAGCATTTAAAACTATAACATGAAACTCTACAACTTAAAGAAGTACTTTTTCAAGTTGCAAGATGCTTGGAAATTTTGCTTTCTGCAGATATTTTGTGGAAATAAACTCTGCCTTGTAAATATTCATCACAAGTTGCTATTCAAATGATGGAGGCATCAGTACTCCTATAATAGAATCTATGTGTTATGAAAACTGGGTCATTTTAGTGATGAAATAAAATGTAGATACATAAGTGATGGTAGGAATTCCAATGACTTCTGTAAAACTTTTTTATACATAAAAACTGCCTGATCACTACCTACTAACAAGGGTCTTAGACTTGAAACAGCTGTTATAAATAATTTAATCTCAGAGTTGCAAATTAATTTGCCTCCGGGGCCAGACAAGGCAAATGCATGAAGTAGGCTAGTTCCATACAAGAAGAATTGGGAGGGACGAGAGAGAAGTAGAGATAATACCTGTGCTACCAAATCCTTAAGGCATCCTTATAGCACAAACCCACTCTCCCATTATAGAGCTGGAACTGAGATCAAAGGATATTAACAGATTTGCCCAAAATTAGTTGAGTCTGTCTTGACCAGAACTGGGTACATAATTTGCAGAATCCAATGCAAAATAAGATGCTGGGTCCCTTGTTCAACAACTGTTAAGAATTTCAAGATGGTAACACCAAAGCATTAAATCAAGCATGAAGTGTTATGTGACTGCCTAAGTCACACACCCGTGAAGACATCGCTGGTTTTAATTTTTGATCTAGAATTTGTACAACCAACAGAAACTTGTTATCACTCTCACCCACAACCACTGAGAGATTGTTAATGGAGATGGAGTTAAAATTAAGTTCTTGACTTTTATACTACAATAAGTTAATTGTCTTCACTCACAAGATAACTTTTTAAAATGACATCAGGAATGCCATTTAGTGACATCCAGCCAGCTTTTAAAGGCATACTCAGAAGTACAAGAAATAAAATTGGGAATTTAGTACTAGAGTAAGAGTTTTTTTGTAATAAGTATACACACACACACACACACACACACACACACACACACGTATATATCTTATATTTTAAAAGACTTAAAACATTTCCATCATTTAAAATCAAAAGAAAACTTAAAAATTTTTCTTCATTAAAAGTGAAAGTCATAACTAGACCGTAAGTTTGGCATGGTATAAGATTGTCATTTATAGTTGTAATTTGATTTTTTTAGATTCTATATGCCTTCCTTTAGCAACATCCAAAAAGATGTTGATATAGTTGTTAAAAGACAAAGTGAAATTCTTACCTAATTTTAAAATATTCAGTCTTTTAAAACAAATATGAACTTCATTTAACTCAAGTTGTTGGTTTTGAATTATTTGATTCAGATATTGTACCTTCATGTTATTGAATCATATCCCTTCATGAGTGATAAACAAGAAGTTGTTCACATGTTGGAGAATGAGAAGATAAGCAGTTGGGCAAATATTGCAGTTAACAATGAAAAAATTAAGTTATCAATATAATACTCAAAATATTTTCTGTAAGCCATGTATACCAGTGTATGGCTTCAGCTAGCACTGAAATTGCTCATTAAGTTTAATCCCTAGTTGAGGGAGGGGGACAAATTTAATTTAATGAACTTTTTTCCCTCCTTTACATGTTTCAGTATATGCTGCGAATATATAAACTGAATGTCACAGAATTTTTTTTAACCTTCTACAGGTGGAGATTTTCATTTTACCTTTATGTATTTACCTACGGAGTGAGATTCCTGAAAAAGGTAGGATCTCTCAAAATATTTTACATAATTCTTATATAAGTGTACGTCTATATCTCCGTTTTTTTAACGTATGACTGTAATAATATTTTAGATCATCATAACAGGTTTCCTAAGAATTATTTGTGCATTTTCATTTGACTTACAAAAATATTTCGGATGTTACTAAGTCCCATATTCACTCCAGTACGTTATTCATTACTTTTCAGGCATTAGGAAGCTTATAAAATCCATCTGATGTTTTGAAAGAAGTTAGAGTTTCTACATCACACAATTTGAAAACATGAATTGTTGCAGCATGTATTACCACTGTACTCTTCACCAGTAGAAATAACTATATATAATATACTATGTACATTATATATACTATATAACTATTATATAGTATGTATTATATATAATTTTATATAATATATATTATATTTTATTATATGATATAGTATAAATGTTGTAATATATAATATAATTATAATTATATTATATATTACAACATTTATACTATATCATATAATAAAATATAATATATATTATATAAAATTATATATAATACATACTATATAATAGTTATATAGTATATATAATGTACATAGTATATTATATATAGTTATTTCTACTGGTGAAGAGTACAGTGGTAATACATGCTGCAACAATTCATGTTTTCAAATTGTGTGATGTAGAAACTCTAACTTCTTTCAAAACATCAGATGGATTTTATAAGCTTCCTAATGCCTGAAAAGTAATGAATAACGTACTGGAGTGAATATGGGACTTAGCAACATCCAAAATATTTTTGTAAGTCAAATGAAAATGCACAAATAATTCTTAGGAAACCTGTTATGATGATCTAAAATATTATTACAGTCATACGTTAAAAAAACGGAGATATAGACGTACACTTATATAAGAATTATGTAAAATATTTTGAGAGATCCTACCTTTTTCAGGAATCTCACTCCGTAGGTAAATACATAAAGGTAAAATGAAAATCTCCACCTGTAGAAGGTTAAAAAAAATTCTGTGACATTCAGTTTATATATTCGCAGCATATACTGAAACATGCAAAGGAGGGAAAAAAGTTCATTAAATTAAATTTGTCCCCCTCCCTCAACTAGGGATTAAACTTAATGAGCAATTTCAGTGCTAGCTGAAGCCATACACTGGTATACATGGCTTACAGAAAATATTTTGAGTATTATATTGATAACTTAATTTTTTCATTGTTAACTGCAATATTTGCCCAACTGCTTATCTTCTCATTCTCCAACATGTGAACAACTTCTTGTTTATCACTCATGAAGGGATATGATTCAATAACATGAAGGTACAATATCTGAATCAAATAATTCAAAACCAACAACTTGAGTTAAATGAAGTTCATATTTGTTTTAAAAGACTGAATATTTTAAAATTAGGTAAGAATTTCACTTTGTCTTTTAACAACTATATCAACATCTTTTTGGATGTTGCTAAAGGAAGGCATATAGAATCTAAAAAAATCAAATTACAACTATAAATGACAATCTTATACCATGCCAAACTTACGGTCTAGTTATGACTTTCACTTTTAATGAAGAAAAATTTTTAAGTTTTCTTTTGATTTTAAATGATGGAAATGTTTTAAGTCTTTTAAAATATAAGATATATACGTGTGTGTGTGTGTGTGTGTGTGTGTGTGTGTGTGTATACTTATTACAAAAAAACTCTTACTCTAGTACTAAATTCCCAATTTTATTTCTTGTACTTCTGAGTATGCCTTTAAAAGCTGGCTGGATGTCACTAAATGGCATTCCTGATGTCATTTAAAAAAGTTATCTTGTGAGTGAAGACAATTAACTTATTGTAGTATAAAAGTCAAGAACTTAATTTTAACTCCATCTCCATTAACAATCTCTCAGTGGTTGTGGGTGAGAGTGATAACAAGTTTCTGTTGGTTGTACAAATTCTAGATCAAAAATTAAAACCAGCGATGTCTTCACGGGTGTGTGACTTAGGCAGTCACATAACACTTCATGCTTGATTTAATGCTTTGGTGTTACCATCTTGAAATTCTTAACAGTTGTTGAACAAGGGACCCAGCATCTTATTTTGCATTGGATTCTGCAAATTATGTACCCAGTTCTGGTCAAGACAGACTCAACTAATTTTGGGCAAATCTGTTAATATCCTTTGATCTCAGTTCCAGCTCTATAATGGGAGAGTGGGTTTGTGCTATAAGGATGCCTTAAGGATTTGGTAGCACAAGTATTATCTCTACTTCTCTCTCGTCCCTCCCAATCCTTCTTGTATGGAACTAGCCTACTTCATGCATTTGCCTTGTCTGGCCCCGGAGGCAAATTAATTTGCAACTCTGAGATTAAATTATTTATAACAGCTGTTTCAAGTCTAAGACCCTTGTTAGTAGGTAGTGATCAGGCAGTTTTTATGTATAAAAAAGTTTTACAGAAGTCATTGGAATTCCTACCATCACTTATGTATCTACATTTTATTTCATCACTAAAATGACCCAGTTTTCATAACACATAGATTCTATTATAGGAGTACTGATGCCTCCATCATTTGAATAGCAACTTGTGATGAATATTTACAAGGCAGAGTTTATTTCCACAAAATATCTGCAGAAAGCAAAATTTCCAAGCATCTTGCAACTTGAAAAAGTACTTCTTTAAGTTGTAGAGTTTCATGTTATAGTTTTAAATGCTAGCTACCAGTCCCTGATATAGTCCCTCCCAAGCTTCTACTAAGATACCTGTAAAAGAGATAAATAACAAACGTCATGCAACCATGAAAAGGAAGATACGACCTTCAACCTACTGCTAGAAGCAGTGAAGAATTCTTATAACAGAAAAAGAATGAAATTAGATGTAAAAAATGTGATTAGCAGTGAAAAGTCACAAGCCTTGAAGGAAGCAGGGAAATCTTCATCTGCATATCACCCTGTCTCCACTTTCTGCCATCTTGCATAGAAATGCAAAAATCTGTGTCAGTCGGAAACGTTGCCCTTTGCCACAAATGATTGTGTACATTTCTTGAGGCAGCAAGAGAATCCCCCATCCCATATGTTAGTGATGGCTACTTTCAAAAGCCAACTGGAAGAAGGAGATGCACTGTGAAAACTGGCAGTTTCAGCGACAGAAAGGCAGATTTAGGGACAAGATGACCTATGAAGGTATTGCATTCTGGAAGTTGGTGTCCTTACATAATCCATATATAAAGCAACAAAGAACAAGGCATTGGAGATAGCTGCTTTATATGAAACTTTCACTGAAAATGGGTCCGACTCTATAGACATCAACCTGCTACAAGGTCAGAGATCTAAAAGAGGACTTTGACTAACAAAACAGGAGGAGAGAGAGTGGGGCTGAGAGCAATCCACACATCCCCTCTGTTAGCAGGTCTAGATGAATATCTCTAAATTTGGGAATGAAAATAACAGCTTGATATCAGCATAGTTCTACTAAGTAGTAATAAATGTGGAAAGAAAAGGGCATGTTAAAGATTCAAAGGAAGAACAGTCTCCTAAAAATGACTTCCTAGAGGAATCGTTAGTAATTTTTAGGAAAGTTTTAGGCATTGCCAATATAACACAAGATATGATCCCTTGAAACAAAACAGAAAGTTGTAAGTCAATAAAAGACTGCTGGGTAAGTTATAGGTGGAATAAAGAAGCATTGCACAGAGTCTGAAAAATGAAGTGCAGCATTATTATCCACTGGAGGGGAGGAACATAGATACATATGATATAAAATTAAGTCATTTACATAGAGGGTAAATACCCCCGTAAGGTCAGAGAAAAGAACCAAAGATGAAAAAAGATCCTAGATCTGGAAGACCAGAAAATAAATCTAATTACAGTTGTTTCTGAGGAAATACAAGAACTGAAATGGAAGTAATACTCAAAGGCAAAAAGACTAAAAAAAAATGAACTGAAAAAAAAGACAACTAAATTGCATTCCAAACAATATCAATTCAAAGCAATTTCTGACAAAAATGTTGAATCCTAGGTTTAAAATTAAAAAAAAAAAAAAGTTCTTCAGTGTTCAAGCATAAAAACAACAAGTCGACACACATAAATCAAAGGAAAACAAATCACCATCAAAGGAACAAATATCCAGTTGGTCTTACAACTCTGCTGTATTATTAAGTGCCAAAAGAAACGGGAGACTCAATCAAAGAAAGCTATTGCCAGGCAAACTGCCTCTCATTTGCAGAGGAATATATGAAAAGTATTCTCATATATTCAGAGGCTCTGAAAATACATTATTCATTAACCTTTATGAAAAAATTACTTCAGCCTATTCTGACCCAGCAATATACAAATAAAAAATAAGATTTCAAAAAGTAGAATTCCAGCATGAAAAGACTATGGTTAGCAACATAAACCATTGCCCTAAACTTCATCGCCAAATTAAATGTTGTTTTTAAGGGATAGTTTAATACAAAATATTTAGCAATAATAATCAAGGGATGAATTCTTCGATTAACGAAAACAAGGAAATGAAGCATTAAATTCATTCTTACAGGAACATTTCAAGACTTCTTTCGATAACAGAAATAGACTAAGCCTATTTCTTTAAAAATTTAAAGATTACTCTTGGTTAAACAAGGTAAATTAAACACATAAATTTACCTCTGTGTCTTTGTGAATGCACTAAACGGGCAAAAGAGGGATTATGTTTAGTAAAGCATAAACTCCCAGGGACACAAAACTGGAGTGAGGACAACCACCCTGTTTCAGGGCCTGGAAAGCTGCAGGGCAGGAATGTTAGCTTAGCTAGTGGAACCAGAAGTTGAATTCTAAACTATCTGTGGAGGATGCTCGGAAGGACCACCAACTCCCAGAAAGACTCCAAATAAGGAAATAACTTTGTAAGACCAGTACTGGAAAAAGCAGCCTAGGGATTAGCCTGTCCAAAGCCAGACACTTGGTAAGTGGAAAAACTGGGACACAAACCTACCAGTGACTCTAAAGCCCTGTCTCAAATTCTACAGAGTTAAAGCATACTGCTTTGCCTAAAGACGTCAATGTGTTCCACTACATTTCCTTGGATATGGAAGCCTTTTATATCTTTCAAACCTGAAAATTAGAATAGGAAGCTAGTAAAAACTACCACCCACTGAATCTGGTTTATTGTCCTTACACAACAAGGTTGAACAGGGCTCTTTGTTAAAATCAAGACTACTAAAATGTGCATTTGAAGCAGGAAACGAGAGCATTGAGGTCCCAGGTCTTGTTGCCAGGCGTCACCCAAAAGGCAAGGGATTGTAAACTACAGAGGCAGGAGAAGCAGGGGAATCATCCGGAGCAGCCACCACCCCCCGCCACCCTTCGCAACTCAGCACATGTTCTAGGAAGACCAGGGCCGGCATACGAGGACCATTTGATTTACAACTGTAACATAGTACTTCCTCTATCCCCTGAGTTCTTCTAAGCACTTTACAAATAGGAAGTCATTTAATGAAACTGTTCCACACAACAAGGTGGGCACTATTATCAACATCTTTATTTTTTTGCCCCCTGATGAGGAAATGAGCACAGAGTGGGTTTAATTACTTGCTGAAGGCCACACAGCTAGTAAGAGAGAAAGTCGGGATTGGAAATTAGGCTGTTTGGTTCCAGTATCCAAACTCTTAACCATTAAGCTATGCTACTTCTTCCTGATTTTATACCTAAAAATTGAAGACAATGTATTCAGCTAAAATGATGTTTCTAACCTGGTGGATATTAGTGGGTGCTGTATAATTGAGAATAGTCTCTACCCTGAGGAACAGCAACTGACTGCTTGCAAATCTGGGGATAGAAGAGGACTGAAAAGACGCTTCTTTTCAATACCAGGGTAGCTAAAATAATATTAAGCTTATTGACAATCATTACCCAGAGAGTTTTTCTCTGTCCTACTCACTCATCTCTCTCTACCTGCTGAGCCACTGTGGCTCCTTCAGGATTTATGTCAAATTCTAGTTGTTCCATAAAGCCACCTTTTCTGGATGCTGCA